CCACCGGCTCGCTGTGTCTCCCTCCAGGCTGGACTACCCGTCCCTGTACATGTGCAAGCCCAAAAGAGGCGTGAAGAGGGATGAAAGCAAGGCAAGTTCCCGGCGCTGCTCCCCACCGGCTCGCACGCTCCGTGGGGTTTGTTTGTTTGTTTGTTTGTTTGTTTTGGGGGGAGAACCGGAGCGGGGGTCTTTATTTTTTGGTGCTTGCAAGAGCATCCCCGGCACCTCCTGGCGGTGCCTGCGCTCCGGACTTGCCCTGGCGGGGTGTTCGCTTGGGCTGTGACCTGTCATCCGATGCAGGGGGGGGTGGCTCTCRTGCTGCTCTTCATATTTATATTTACTATTACTTTATTTTTACGGAATTCCTGCGCGCTCAGGAAACGTACAAGCTGCCGCACAGGTTGATAGAGAAGAAGAGGCGAGACAGGATTAACGAGTGCATCGCGCAGCTCAAAGACCTGCTGCCCGAGCATCTGAAGCTGACGGTGAGGAGCGGGCGCGCGGCTGTGCCCCTGCTCATGCAGGCTGCCCCCTGGGCCCCACGCGCCGCCCCCGGCAGTGGGGCTGCGCTGGGGCCGCAGGGTGCGCTGGACACGTCGCCTCTGCCTCCGCAGACACTGGGGCACCTGGAGAAGGCGGTGGTGCTGGAGCTGACCCTTAAGCATTTGAAGGCACTGACGGCCTTGACGGAGCAGCAGCACCAAAAAATCATCGCGCTGCAGAGCGGTAAGTGGGGCGGCTTGGGGGGCTCGCCCCACACGTGGTGCCTGAGTGCCCGGCCGGCGCGGTGCCCAACGGCGTGTGCCCGCAGGCGAGCGCTCCATGAAGTCGCCGGTGCAGGCCGACCTGGACGCCTTCCACTCGGGCTTCCAGACGTGCGCCAAGGAGGTGCTGCAGTACCTGTCGCGCTTCGAGAGCTGGACGCCCCGCGAGCAGCGCTGCGCCCAGCTCGTGGGCCACCTGCACGCCGTCTCCTCGCAGTTCCTGCCCGGCGCGCCGCTGCTCGCCCCGCCGCCCGGCCCGCTGCCCAAGGCGCCCTCGTCGCCC